CTCTCCCTCTCCCTTCTTATCTATCTCATTTTCTCTTTCTCCCCCTTTCCCTTCTTATCTATCTTTTTGCCTTCTTTCTCTCCTCTCCCTCTTCCTCTTCCCTTCTCCTTCCCATAACCCCTCCTCCCCCTTCACGTTCGCTGTTCACTGCTGTCTGTATCAACATTCTGCCACTTCGCTTTCGCAGACTCGTTCTCTCTTGTTAGTGCCATCTTTCTATTTTCCCTCCGCGCGTACGGGGCTTGGTCTGTTTGGTGGTGTGTGTGTGTGTGTGTGTGTGTGTGTGGTGTGTGTGGTGTGTGTGTGTGTGTGTGTGTGTGTGTGTGTGTGTGTGTGTGTGTTGTGTGTGTGTGTGTGTGTGTGTGTGTGTGTGTGTGTGTGTGTGTGTGTAAAATCCCTACTCTCTCTCTCTCTCTCTCTCTTCTCTCTCTTCTCTCTCTCTCTCTCTCTCTCTCTCTCTCTCTCTCTCTCTTCTCTCTCTCTCTCTCTCTCTCTCTCTCTCTCCTCTCTCTCTCTCTCTCTCTCTCTCTCTCTCTCTCTCTCCCTCTCCCTCTTTTTCCATAAGGGCCATAAACCCCTAGTAACGATGCAGCACCCACTAAGAAAGTGTCCATGCCAACGCCCGTCCCATAAAGAGGCAAATATATCCCCCCGCCCAGTCTTTCGAGGCCGAGCTCCTTCCACGCCCATGAAACGCTTATGGCATTTTCAGCGCCCACCCTGCATGCAAGCACCCCACCCCCCACCCCGGCTCCCCCCTTCCCCCTCCCCCAGCCCGTCTTCGCAACTCTCTTTCGGCCGCGTCTTGTCCACACCCCGAGGGCCGAGGAGGGGGGCGGGGTGGGGGGAACTCGAGACTGGTCAAAGGACCTCGCCCCCTCGCGCTCATGGTGATGGACGCACACGCATGTGTATATACGCCTCTCTCTCTCTCTCTCTCTCGTCTCTCTCTCTCTCTCTCTCTCTCTCTCTCTCTCTCTCTCTCTCTCTCTCATCTCTCTCTCTCTCTCCTCTCTCTCTCTCAGACACACACACACGGTGATCTGTGTATTCAGAGCACAGATTAGAGCTCAGGCCGAACATAATGGAATATTTGATGACCAAAATGTTCGGCACTCTGCTCTGTTTAGACAAGGATCGCCAAGTACACAGCAACAAGCAGGGTTCAACATGTGTGCGACGAGAGAAACGGGGTCGTGCGTTGAGGCAAAAGGGAACAGGAACCGACTTCCGTGAGGAGGGCTTACCAAGAATAGCCACGTGAGGGTGGAAAGAACACCAAGGACAGGGCTCCAGGAACAGATAACTGCAGGGGAAAAGAGCACCAAGGACAGGGCTCCAGGAACAGATAACTGCAGGGGAAAAGAGCACCAAGGACAGGGCTCCAGGAACAGATAACTGCAGGGGAAAAGAGCACCAAGGACAGGGCTCCAGGAACAGATAACTGCAGGGGAAAAGAGCACCAAGGACAGGGCTCCAGGAGGCAGGGGAAAAGAGCACCAAGGACGGGGCTCCAAGAACAAACAACCGCTAAGAACAGAACACCAAGAACATGCCGGGAAGGGGAAGCACCAAGGACAGAGCAGGAAGAACATATATGCGCAGAGCAGAGAGCACCACGGACAGGCACGCACGAAAGAAAACAGAGCACCTGGGAGAGACGCAACCAAAAGAACAGAGCAACCAAGAACAAGACACACGAAGAACACAGCGTCGACAACAGCGACAGGGAGAAAAAAGAAGATTCACTCTGCAACACAAGAGCGGCAGCAAAAACGACGCACCTACAGCTAACATTACAGGTCCAAAAAGATATGAGGGATGCTGGGGACAGCCCGTGCACAGCAACAAGAGAGTAAATCAGGGCGCTTAGGACGGGCCACGCCAAAGCCACGGCGACGGAGGACAGCCGCCAGCGACACAGCAGCCGGAGGAAAGACATAGATAACACAGATACGGTAGGAAACGAACACCCGAATCACAAACACAATAACACAGCAACGAAAGGAAACGAACACCAAAACCACAGGCGAAAGATACATTGACAACACAGCACCAGCAGGAGACAAACACCAATAACACAGCACGAAAGAGAACCTTACACCAAGGAGAAACAGCACCAGGAGGACGCACATCAAAGTCACAACAGCAAGAGAAAGAACGTTTCCAAACCGTAGCCCCAAGAGCAAAAACGTTCCTCAACCCTCAACCCAAGAAGAAACAAACGTTCCCAACCCACAACCCCAAGAAGAAACAAACGTTCCCAACCCACAGTCCCAAGAGGAAAAACGTTCCCAAGCCAAAGCTCAAGAGCAAAACGTTAAAAAAAAACAGTACCAAGAGGAAAAACGTTCCTAATCCACACCCCAAGAAAAATAAAAAGCCCCACCCACAGCATAGGGAGAAGCCACGGGGCAAAAACACAGCGGCGGGAGGCAGAGGGACGCCGCCCTCCCGCCGGCAAGCAAGAGGATCCCCGCGCAAGAAACGCAACCCCTGACACATCCCCTTCAAGAACTGCAACGCCAGACTCCTCCTGCAACCTTTCCGGCTCCCAGAACACATTGTGCTGCTCCTCCCTCCCTCCCTTCTCTCTCTCTCTCTCTCTCTCTCTCTCTCTCTCTCTCTCTCTCTCTCTCTCTCTCTCTCGCTCTCTCTCGCTCTCTCTCGCTCGCTCTCTCTCTCTCTCTCCCCCTGTCCTCCTTCCTGATGAACTCCTCCTTCTGGTTCTCAGTCCTCTTCTTACCCCCTTCTCTTTCCCTTTCGTACTCCTTTCTCCCCTTACCCTTCCCTCCCTTCTCTTCATCCCTCCCTTTCCTTTCCTTCCCTTTCCTTCCCTTCTTCCCTTTCCCATTCCCCCTCCCTTCCCCCGCTCCCCTCTCCTACCTCTCCCTCTATCCTTCCCGGAACTCCGTCCTTTCGTCCCTGATCCTCTCCATACGCCCCTAATACTTTCGTTGTTCCCGGAAGCGAGCGAGTACGCCTTCCCCTCCATGGTCAGGGTGGGTGGGGAGGGGGCGTAGCAGGGGCCGGCAGGAGGAGGGGGGACGGAAAGAGGAGGGAGCTGGGTTACGGGCATAGAAGGGGGAATAGGGGAGTCGGGAAGAGGAGGGGAGGGAAGGGCACCGGAAAGAGAAGAGGGGGAGGGGGAGCCCGGAAGAGGAGGGAGGGGGAGAAAAGGAGAGAGAGAAGGGGAGGGGAGCCCGGAAAAGAGGAGAGGAGAGGAGAGAGAGAGGGGGGGGGGGGACCACCATCCTCGAGCCGCGTGAACCTCTGGTATTTACATTTCCCGTAAACAATCGTCTCTCCCGGGCCATCAGAGGCGGCGTTCGTTCGCGCGACGGCAGCATCCGCTTTAACATCGCCCCCGAACGAACGCGGCCCAATCTCGAGAGCGGCCCCGACCCGAGCGAACGCGGCGGCCCTCAGGGGGGGGGGAGGACTTTCGAAGCTCCTCGTTGTCCTTCCTTCCTCTTTTTTTTAAGTGACTACGAGTACGGCAGAAAGGCCCCCGATTCGTGTTCTGCGCACGGGTGGTGGAATAACGATACCACGCTTAATCAGGTCAGGTTAGGCTCGTACTTGTTACCCGGAAATAACGCTTCTATGCGCCTATTTTCATGTATGGCGTACGCCTAACCGCGAGAGATGGGATACGGCTGCCGTACGAGTAACACAGGCTTCTTTCAGGATAGGAAAGACGGGGAAAACATTGTAGGTAAGCTAGCTAAAAATGGGAAGAAAGAGAGAGATGTTGATAGTAGGGCAATCTTACCTTCTGCTTTACGAAGTGGAGGGAAGGAGGAGAGGGGAGAAGAAGAGAAGGGGGAGGGGGCTTCCTTTTACCTCCTGATGCCATTACCGAAAAGAAGGGCGTGAGGGAAGGGGACAGAGAGAACGTCAGCAATTTCCCACTTTTTCCCCTTTGCCTTTCTTTCTCTGTTCCTTGTCCCTCTCTGATCATCATCATAATTATTCTTATTCTTCTTATCATCATTATCCTTATTATCGTTATCTTTCTTTAGTTGTTCCTTTTCCCTCTCTGATCATCATTATAATTATCTTTATTTTTGTTATCATTATCCTCATTCTCATTATCTTTTAGCTATCCCTTTTCCTTCTCTCCTTCTCATCCTCATAATCATTCTTTTTCTTCTTATCTTCATTATCCTTATTATCAACATCATTACCATTATCACAAAGTTCAATGTCATTGAGGCATTCCTGAAACACGTGTTGCCGTCTTCCTCTATTTTACAAAGAGGGGGGTGAGGGGTGGGGGGATGAGGGTGGGGGGGATGCTGGAGTCTTCTCTTACTCTTAAATCCATTTGCTAAAAGTGGGGAAAAGGGAGGGGAGGGGGAGATGGAGGGAGGGGGGAGACTAGAGAAGGGAATATGAGAAGGGAAGAAACGTGTATATTTCCCCCTCTTTCCAACCTTTTTTTTCTTCTTCTTCCTCTTCATCATCGTATTTTTCTTCTTTTCTTTTCATTTCTCTTCGTAGGGTCATCTTTCCCCCCTTACCCATTTTCCTTGAATATGACCCCCTCCTCCTCTGACCTCCCTTTCCAACCGCAGAAACACACCTCCTTTCCCCCAGAATCCTCAGACACAAACCCCTCCATTTAAAAAAAAGGTCAACCCCGACGCCTTTAAAGCCATTCCCTCAGCAAGGTCAGCAAGGGGAAAATGGGAGCGTGAGGCCCCATTAGCCGCCTCGAGAGTCCCCTTACCAGCGACCTTCCTCCAATACTGGCTGCCATTTGCTAGCAGCAAGTGGAAGCGAAAAGAAAAATAGTAAATACATGGAGAATTAAGTACAGCCGAGATGCACCAGAAAAGTATAATATGTAACAATAGTCACGTGTGTTCGTGTATTATATGTGTATTTTATTATATAATGAATATATAATATATATATATATATATATATATATATATATATATATATATATATATATATATGTATGTATGTATATATATGTGAGTACACACACACACACACACACACACACACACACACACACACACACACACACACACACATATATATATATATATATATATATATATATATATATATATATATATATATATATATGTATATATAATATATATATATAATATATATGTATGTATGTATGTATGTACATATAAACACACAGAGAATGAACTCCCTCAACCCAATGACCAAACTAAGAAAAGAAGCGAAAAAGGCCCCGAGGCCCATTTCCGCAAAACCCGGGCCCCTCATCTGGCAACAGCCTCGAGAGCCCAGGTTCGCCGCCATCGGAAAACGATCGCCTCGCGCGCCGCCCTGTTTACGCTCTTGCGTCCGCGAGTACACAACTTCTATCGCAAATCCATGCTAATTGATCACTTGTCGTTGATCCACTTGTGGCGGGGGCGGGGGGGGGGGGGGCGGGGGGGGCGGGGTGGGGTAGGATGAGGGGGGGAGAGGAGGGGTGGGGGAGAGGGGAGAACAATAAGGAGTGAGAACGAGGGGAGAAGGGAGGAAAAGGGGGAGGAGAGGAAAGGCGAAGGGGAGGACAATAGAGGAGTGAGAGCAAGCGGCATGTGTTAGTGGCGAGAAAGTTCAGTGTGGTAAGAAGGTTCAATTTCAGCAAGAGGTTCAATGAGGTATATAAGTTCGATTTGGTAAGAGGTTCACTGCGGTGAGAAGGTTCAGTGTGGTCAGAGGGTTCAATGCGGCAAAATACACCGAACCTTACGCTAAGAAGGTTCAACACATAACGGTTCAATAGAGTCAGAAGGTTCAGCATAATAAGTAAGTCCCATGTAGTAAGAAGGTTCAAAGTGAGAGAAAGCCCAAATAGAACACGAAAAAAATGGAAAAAATAAGTTTGGAAAGGTTTCAAGACTTCAAAAAAACGTGCACTTGAAATCACATCACGTGGGAACATTCCTCCAAAAAAGAAATCTTCACGTGAGAGGTATAGGTCGGCTGGCACAGGAGGAGGAGGAGGAGGAGGAGGAGGAGGAGGAGGAGGAGGAGGAGGAGGAGGAGGAGGAGGAGGAGGAGGAGGAAGGTGATAAGGAGGAGGATAGGAGGAGGTGGTGGTGGTGGAGGAGGGGGTGAGGAAGAGGAGGGGAGAGGAGGGAAAGGAAGGGGAGGAAAAGGAGGAGGGTGGGAGGGAAGAGGAGGGGGAGGAGAAGAAGGAGGATGAGAGACGGAGAAGGAGGAGGAGGAAGAGCAGAAGAACATGATGGTGATAAAGCTAGAGACGAAGGAGGGAGAGAACATGAAGTAAAAGAAAAAAAAAAAAAAAAAAAAAAAAAAGAAGAAAGAAAAAGAGAAGGAGGAGGAGGCGAGGAGTATGTTAATATATCGTCCATACGTCAAGTGTCTGAAGCAGTTGTGACGTCACGAGCGTTGTGTGCGAGCGCGAGCCAGGGTGAGACGGGCTCCTGATGAGGCTGCCAGAAACCCTGTCATTGGGTGACCCACTCTCCTCGAAGACGCGTCTCACTGTTCCTATCTCTTTAATTAAGTGATAAACAAGGAAACAACAGAAAGGAAAAAAATATGTAGCAATCAACAAGCGAGGAAATAATGAAAAAAAAAAATCAACAAGCGAGCCAATAAAGAAAAAAAAAAGAAAAAACAATCAACAACCAGGAAATAATAAAAAAATCAACAAGCGAGCCAAGAAAAAAATAAAGAAAAAACAATCAACAACCGAGGAAATAGATCAATCAACAATCAACAAGCGAGCCAACGAAGGGAAGAAAGAAAGACAAACAATCAACAAGCGAGGAAACGATGGGAAAAAAGAAAAACAAAACAAAATCAACAAGCGTAAAAGACTTGTCTTTACACTCCTCTCCTGTCTGCAAGAGAACCTAGCACTAGAGACCCGCTGTTCTCTAGCACACGTCTCCTTGGCTCTCCTTATTCTTCCTACGCTGAAACGATAGATAAGGAAAGGGGCAGCAATGGGAAGAAGAGCAAACGAGCGAAAGAAGACAGCCTAGGCCTACCCATTCATTCGTGTGCCAGCCAGAAAAACCCACCCTTGGCGATCCCAACGTTCTCCTAAACGACCGTTCATCTTCCATCATCCTTCGTATAATAGTAACAATAAAAACAATTCACAAAGACAACAAGCAGAGGCGAGAGACAAGTTTAAAACGAGAACGAGCTAAATTGGCGGTTCGTTCTAGAGGTCAGCAGACGAATAAATTCCTGTCGTAAATACACCGGAGACAGTTGCCCGCCGCGCCCGCCCTCGTCTGCCGTTTTCGTCGTCCTCTCTGGCCCTCCCTTTCATCGTCGTTCCCTTTGTCCCTCTCTTTTATTATCGTCCTCTCTGTCCCTCCCTTTTATCGTCGTCCTCTCTACCCCTCTCTTTCATCGTCGTTCTCTTTGTCCCTCTCTTTTATTATCGTCCTCTCTGTCCCTCCCTTTTATCGTACCCCTCTCTTTATCGTCGTCCTCTCTTTTATCGTCGTCCTCTCTACCCCTCTCTTTTATCGT